GTCCCTGCATGGTCCCCTGGGGATGTCCCTCATGTACCTCCCAGGGACGTCCGCTCGGACCACCCGGCCGGTGCAACCGACGGGTCCAGCCGACAGCAGACGTCCTCCATAGGTCCGGCGGACGTCCCATCGGGACCCGTGAAAGGTTGCGAAGGGCTAGATCCGGCCGACGTCCCTGGGTCGTCCCAAGGACGTCCTTTTGGGACATGGCCCCGCGTTGCTTGGGCAAAACGCCGATGTACCAGTGGTCCGAGGCCTGTCCCGCCGGGCTGATCCCGGCGGATATCCTTTGCGGACGTCCCAGGGACGTCCTATTGGGACATGGCCCCTGGCGCATAGGCAACACGCCCGACTGCCAGTGGTCCCAAGCTGGTCCTAGCGGGCTAGTCCCGGAGGATGTTCCTTGAGGACGTCCCAGGTACATACTGTTCGGACATGGCCCTTCGATGAGATGACAACACTTTGAAGGAAAAGTCCAAAGTCATGTCTCAATGTGTGAAACGAGACCCATGCATATGGTCCCGGGTATGGTCCGCGCGGGACCTCCCTGGGACCTCCCCAGGACGTCCGACGGGGACATCGCTACGGTGGACGCGACGTATCATGTAGTCGAGACACTACACGTCATGTTGCATGTGAGCGGCATGGCACAGTGGATAAGTGCGCTGCTTCACAACCTGAAGGTCGGAGGTTCGACTCTCCCCACGTGCAACGAGTTTTCATCGTCCGAAGGGAAAGGTGAAGGGTAAGGACGGTCGGGAGTGGCAAATTAAGGTCAAGCTAACACACTTGCGTTCAAATTTTTAACCAAAATTTTTAACGCTGAACATGGGACGTCCCTCGGTGGTCCGAGGGACGTCCGCCGGGATAGTCCCTACGGACGTCTGCGGCGGACGTCCGCGGAACGTCCACCCGGGACGTCCGGTTCGGACGTCCCACGGACCTCCAGGGGACGCGTTTTCTTTGCCATCCGGAGGTCCCCTCGGACGTCCGACCGGGAGGTCCGGGTAGTCCCGGCCGGACGTCCCTCGGACGTCCACGGGACTATGTTTTGTTGACTGGGTCAGGGACGGAGATTGGATAAGGAGGCTGGCGATGGTGCGATCCTGATTGTGTCATTGGGTCGGCCTCGCGAGCGCACAGCGCCGAGCCATTCGCGCTGGAAGTTGGCGGAGGGGCGTCCTGGAAACGCATTCAACAAACAGTTTGGATTTTTGTTTTGAAATGGCGTCGCCAGTGCGTTGCTGGGGTGGGCGACCTGCCTGCCAGCCCGCCTGCCTGGGCCTGAGCACCTGAGGGGCTCAAGGGACGGAGCCAACCAGGCCTGGGCGGAAACGAGGCGCTCGGTCGTCAAAAGCAACCGACCCTTGTGTTGTGTCAATGCCGTGAAACGCAGCGGCCGGAATGCCCGCCAGAGCCCGGCCCTGGCCTGGCCAAAAGCAGGAGGAAGTGATCCTCTCTCTCTCTCTCTCTCTCTCTCTCTCTCTCTTCTCCTCTCTCTCTCTCTCTCTCTCTCTCTCTCTCTCTCTCTCTCTCTCTCTCTCTCTCTCTCTCTCTCTCTCTCTCTCTCTCTCTCTCTCTCTCTCTCTCTCTCTCTCTCTCTCTCTCTCTCACCCCTTGGTCAGGGTGTCCTGCAAGAGAATGCGTGGAACGTTCTAAAGGCGGACGAAAGAAAGACAGGGGATTGCTGGCCCAATCTGCCCGCCCCGCCCCACCCCGCCCCGCCCCACCCCGCCCCGCCCCGCCCCGCCAAAGAAACGGAAGCAGGACTGCGTCGCGCGTCGCGCCATTGTTCCATGGGGAATGCTTGTTTGAAAGTAATTTGTTCCGACCCGGCTCGGGGCGGCTCGGGGCGGCTCGGGGCGGCTCGGGGCCTTTCAGATCGTTCAGAGCCTGCTATGGGTCCCCCCTACTCCCGTCCCCCATTTTTACCCGCTGGCCGTCCACCCCATTTGCGACTGCAGCTCGCCGGGAGTAATATTCGTAACGTTTGATTGGCCTGGGAAAGCCAACGGCGCGCCACGCCGGCGAACGCGAACCTGAATGTCGCTGTCGAATCGAAATCGCAATCCGAATGTGGGGGCGGACTGCACACACGACTGCAGTGGCGTAACGGCGGCCGCGCCAGGGCAGTGAGAGCGGTAAGAGCGAGCGAGAGCAGGCCGAAGCAGCGAGAGCGAAGCCGGCGGGGGAAAGAGAGCGAAGAGTGAGGAAATCGGCCGGAAACGCGGGACGTACAATGCCTCATTTCCGGCGGCCGGAAGGGAGAGGGGAGCGCGTCGGCTTGGCGTCGGGCGTGATGGGGCGGCCTCTTTAAACTGGGGCCTTCTTTCGCACACACCGTCGCACGCCAAACCCCTTCGGTCAGACCGCCACAATCACAGCAAGACATTTTTTTTGAGTCACCAAAAAAAACGACAAATTAATTTAGATTTTTTTTTGTTTCGTGGCGAAACGAGAGCCTGCAGCAGTTTCATGGAATTTCCCGCCCGGGGGCACGCGTTGGTTCTAACTTTGTCGCACCTCCGCGTCGAGGAGACACAATCCTGTCTCCTCTTCCTCCTCCCTCTCGACCCTCTTCCTCCGGGTAAGTAGAGCGACTCGCGAGTGGAGTACACACGGGCCTGTGCGGCGTGCCCACTGACCTACATGCAAGAAGTACAACGTGACGTAATAAGGTGCCATCTCCCCGCCGGGCCCGGCCATGCGCCTTGTGCCCTCTCAGTAGAACTCACTGCTCGGTCTTGGTTTTGGTGAGTTTGGTGGCGACGCACTGCCATCTGCCTGCGATTTCTGGGTGAGGTGGTATCTCCACCGCGCAGTCTGGCATATGAAAAGTGCCTGGCAAAAACCGACACACGCTTGACGGCACCAAACACGCCCCTGGACCAAAAAAAGAAACAACAAAAACAAGGCAGATTTATTGCCTTAAATCGACCGGCCACGCCGGCTGTGGCGCAAATAGTGCCAAAGACAAAAACCGGTGCGTGCGGCGCACATGTGACTCCGGCAGTGGCGCGCCGCGTTTCGATATGAAACTTTTATCACAACAGCGGTCCAAGAAAAGCACCCGGCGCACTGTTCCGTTCGGGCAAGCGACTTTCTCGCACATCCTTTTCTTTTCCGCGGAGGACGAGAGAGAAGAAAGAACGGACGAGGTCGAAATTTGGCAGGCTGGCCGGGGCTTGCCGGACAGCGCGCCTGGCCAGTGGGCACAGTGGGCCAGAAGACCGGTGGAGGCAGCCAAAACTCTGGACGCGTTTTGAGCTCCAGAGTCGCTAAAAAGGACTCGAACAGAGCGTGTGACCCCACCAATGGATTCCTCGTTCGAGGAGCAATCCATTGGTGGGGTCACACGTTCGGTTCGAGTCCCATTTAGTGACTCTGGAGCTGAAAACACGTCTAGCGTTTCGGCCGCCTCCACCGCTCTTCTGGCCCACTGTGATCCGTCACACTCACCCGGCCCGGCCGCCCGGCGGAACGAAACGTCGTCAATTTCTAACGATCCGGAGAAGTCACAAGTTTGGCGGATACCGCCGTCGCCAAGTTTCGCCGACAGGAAGGAAGGAATCTCGGCTGTTGTTATTCAACTCAAACTCTCCACGCGCGCTGCTGCGCCATGGCCATGGCGCGGCGACACGAGACGTGGACACTCTCCCGGAATGCCCCAGAAAATATTATTATGACAAGAGCCACTTCCATTCCCGGAGTGACCAACGTCCCCGTATTTTCATACGCGCTGCTGCCCACGCCACTGGCGGGGCCGGGCACTCTGCCTCCGGACGAATCATTCTCTTCGATGGCTTGGCTCCTCTCGGGCTCGCGCCGCCCGTCTGGAAAAAGGACGACTGGCCTCCCTTCCAGCGCCTCGAGGCAGTGTTACCACACTGCGACTTGCCAGTGCACCAGTGGTGAGAGGGTTGCCAACCTCACCCTGCCTGCAGGCAGGATAATGCCTGTGGGAAGTTGCTCTGCGCCGGTTGGCAACCCTCTCGGTGCATCGTGGGAATTTCGGCCTCCCAGTGTGGTGGCACTGCCTCCAGGAGAGGCTCCAGCGAGTCCGCGGTCCCGGCGTGTCGGGCTTCTCATTAAGCCGGCCGCAAGTAAATGTCGCGGCGTTTAAGAAATAAATTGTCCAGTCACGTGCAGGCCTGGTGCAGGCCGTGCGAAGCGCCACTCCCCCTTTCGAGAGCGCCTCCACTGCCTGCCGGCCGTTTTAGCAACTATTTCGCAGTGGGGGGCCTAAGTGCGCTGCGGAGTGCCCTGGCAGTGGCGTAGGCGGTGACGCTGGACGAGGGGTGGAAAGATCAGCCAGGTGACAGCGCAGGCAGCGGGTTTCGGGTCACTGTGTGATGGCCATCGCCACACAACACAACATCGTGGGACTCACTTCAGGAAAAAGTCTTGGTTTCAACAAAGCACCTGTCTAGCTACGCCACCGGAGGACCCCCACTGGGGCGCGGCGGGGCGTGGCGGGGTGGGGCGGAGCGGGGCCCTCGGCCGAGGGGAGTGGTGCCATTAGCGACAGAAGCATCGCAAGCAACAGCTCCAATTATTTGTGTAATGAATTTAATTATTCGCAACCGGAGCCTAGCTGCCGCTGCGCGGTGGAGGAGAGCAGGGCTGTTGGGGCGGGGCGGGGCGGGGCGGGGCGGGGCGCACAGCTGCATGAGTTCCTCCCGACCAATTAATACTCAGCACACACACACACAGACACACACAGACACACCCAGGATCAGGAGCGTGGAACTTATTCCGTCAACATGCCGCCCCGCGGGGCAAAGTTCCGCCGAAGAGGCAGGATAGTCGTGAGGCTCGCGTTGATGTTACAGTGCGGCTGCGTGCGAATCGATGCGAGATTGAGTGTCCGCGGTGGTGCCACTGTTGCCGCCCGTTGCCACGCTGCGCTGCGCTGCCGGCGCTGCGACCATGGGGCCGATGGAGGCCTCGGGCGGGGCTGCGGGGGCTGCGGGGCTGCAGCCTGGACGGAGCCCCCCGCCCTGGGGCCTGGGGTGCCTTGCGGCCAGCCTGGAGCACGCCACCGCCACCATGAAGGCCAAATTATCGGAAGACGATTCGGGGCGGCCAGGGGCGGCCGTCGAGGTGGGTGCGGCATTACCGCCGTGGCGTCCGAGAGCGCGGAGGACCGGCCAAAACTCTAGACGCGTTTTGAGCTCCAGAGTCGCTAAATGGGACTCGAACCGAGCGTGTGACCCCACCAATGGATTCCTCGTTCGGAGAGCAATCCATTGATGGGGTCACACGTTCGATTCGAGTCCTTTTTAGCGTCCTGGATTTTGACCGCCTCTTCTGGCCCACTGTACGCGGCCTCAGAGGGTGGCCTTGCGCAGGACACGTAGGACATCCTGGGGGCGTCCCGGTAAATGCCGGAGCGGGGAAGGACGACAGGATCACCTTGGCCCGCGACTGCCAGAAACAACACCCAGAGCGTTCGCTCCTACTTGCTAGAGCCCAAGTACATACGCCAGCTCGTGGTCAAGTGAGTTTCCGGAGCGCCCAGCACTGCGAAAGCTCCTTACACTGTACTTAAATATTTATTACGTGTTCCACGCCGCGCAGAGGTCAAGGGGGTTCTCGAGGAAAATTCACCCGGACGGAGATCGGCGACCTCAACAAGGCGGCCAAAGTTCACTACTTCCCCGTGCAGCCGGCCAACAAACTCATCGACATGAAGCTCGACATCAAGAAGCGCATGGAGCACTCCGAGAGGGTACCCATCCAAAAGCAATGCGTATAACTCTTCCAAATTTTTTACTTTGTTTTAATTTGTGCGTGCTTTTTTAGGTGTTCCACCCTGAGAAGAAGATCGACAACAACGCGCCCCGCCTGTACCCGCGCATCCCGCGGACGGAGCGGGCCGCGTACCGCCTGGACGACATGATGCTGGAGAACAAGAAGCTCCTGGAGAGGATCTGCACCATCTGGCGGACCAAGGTCTCGCCTCCATCCGCCGTTTTTTCGCCGCTCCCTTGCCGCTCATTATTGCAGGGAGTTTTGCTCGGTGCTGCAGGGCAAGGTGGACACGTCGGCGCCGAACGTGGAGTGGAAGTCCAACTACCGGCAGCGGATGTGGGACATGGTGAGGCGCGAGGCGGACAACGTGGCGCTGCTCTACTTCATCCAGACTGCGGTGAGGGCGGCGCGGTGGCGGCGAGGTGGCGGTCAGTCATTGGCGCAAAAACACAGCCTGACAACGAGGCCCCGCCGTTTTTGCCTCGCCTGCCGCAGACTCCACAGGTCCCGACGCGCGACGAGTGCGCCCGGGACTTCAACAAGGCCGTGGAGAAGATGAAGTTCGTGTGTCGGTTCCCGCTGCTCTTCCTCAAGGACACGAACAGGGACATGCCGCTGCCCATGCTCAACCCGCCGCCCGTGGACCCGGAAGCACCCCGACGGAAGAGGTCTGCACTTTTTTTGAAATTACGAAAAAACTACGGTGTTGTGAACCCTTGTCGTCCGCCTTCAGGGTCTTCATGGAGTTCATCACGAGCCAGGAGCGCTTGCTGGGCCGCATCGAGGTGGAGCTGTTCGAGGAGCAGGCGCCGCAGACGGTGGCCAACTTCCTGGCGCACATCCGGGGCGAGGCGCCGCGGCCCGAGGAGGACGCCGAGGACGCCGCCAAGGACAGGAAGAAGGACACCCCCACGACGTACTCCTACAAGGACACGCCGCTGCACCGCATCCTGCCCGGCTACTACTGCCTGGGCGGCGACGTGGTCAACAGGAACGGGTCGGCGGGCAGCTCCATCCACGGCGGGGAGCCCTTCCCCGACGAGAAGAACGACCTCACGCACTGCGAGCCGGGTACGTCCCGGACTAGTCGTGCCGCCCACCCTGCTGGTGGCAAGGGTTCGTTTTACAGTGCAGGCGGGCACGTGTCTAGTTCAAGTTGTGGTCTAGCCCGTAATGGTAATGGCAACGGTTCCACATTCTGTATGTTGGGTTGCCTACCCTCCCGATGACAGGGGTTAAACATTCTGCAGGTTGTGTTGCCTACCCAGCCGGTGACAGGGGTTCTTGAGACGCGGAGTGCCCCCAGCCAGAGGCAGGGGTCCGTTGCGATGGTCCCATTTCATTCCGACCCCTACCGCCCCTACCGCCCCTAGCCCGCCCTCTGCTGATTATGTTCATTTGGCAGCCTGGGCAGTCAGTGCCGCAAAATAATCTGATATCCCTGCCGGCGCGGCAGCATTCTTGTACATCTGGTGTCCGCCCGGGCGCACCCCGGCGTGCCGGGTACAGTGCGGTAGCTTCGTCGCCCTGTCTTTCTCGACGGGCGAGAGAGACAGAGCGGCACTGCGCGGAAAACTTGAGCACGCGCCCGCGACACAGGTGGCCGCTGATGAAATCAATTCCGACTCGCGGATCTGCTGGCGAGTTGAAGCCTTTTCCACTTCGGGGCAGACCTCTCGGAGATGTCGCCATTGCGTGGGTTCTTAAAGAGCGAGGCTTAATCGGCCTACCCCCTCTCCGGGGCTTTAGTCGGCGCGGTCTTCTTCCTACTCTTCCACATCAGGAGGGACCCGAGCGCCGGAGCCCCTCTCACTGCTGTCTGCCTGTCTGTCTGCCTGTCCCTCTGTCTGTTTGTCTGTTCTCTCATATTTAGCAGCAGCCGGCTCTATCGTGGTCGGGGTCCCTCTCACACGAGGAGATACGGGGAACAATAATTGTGCTCTGATTAAAGCAGTACCGCCTGGATTTCACTTCCAGCCGGGAGGGGCGAGGCGGGGATCTACTCGGTTCAGACACGGCGGCCCTGTGTGGCTTGGCTCGGGTCCGGTGTTGGCTGCAGATAGGATCCACCCTGATCTCTTATTTAAAGTCAACACATTCATTCTTGTTTGTTTTCCAGGACTGCTGTGCACGATCGGCGCCAAGGCGGACAGCAACGACTCCAAGTTCATGTTGACGATGAAGGCGCTGCCTACACTGGACGACAAGAGCACCGTCTTCGGCCGCATCGTCAAAGGCTTCGAGGTCCTCCAGGCAGTAAGTGCGCACCAGAAAGGAAAAGAAAAAAAAAGGCCGCTGGCATTTGAACCCGCGACCCGCATAAGAGACACAGGCGGGTGGGATTCCTGAAAACATCTTGCGCTGCGTTTGCTGCTGCCTTTGAGGTTACGCCCCGCCACGCCCCGCCACGCCCCGTGCGCAAAGTCGCAATATGAAAAGGTAAAAGGGCCGCCGTAGAAACGGCAGCCCTGTCGACGCCCTTGCGCGCGTATTTGTGGCTGGGGCGCATGTTTCCTGAGTGTGTGTGTGTATGTGCTTGTATGTGTGTATGTGTGTGTGTGTGTGTGTGTGTGAAGCATAATGCAGGCAAAACTAACAAGCGCACGCGTGCGGATGCCACAGTGATGTCTTTTCAGTGAGCCCGGCCCGTGTCTGGCGGAGCGCGCTCCGGGAAAGGCGGGGTGGAACTCAGAGAGGGAGCGAGAGAGACAGACAACCACTGCCGGCTTGAATAGTAGCATGCAAATGGTGGTCCAGGCCCCGTCCGGCCGCCCGAAGGATCGTCTCGTCTCTCTGTCTCTCTCGCTCCCCGTCGGGACGCCCCATGAGTGCGAGAGAGACAGTCGGATTCAAACGGCAGGGCAGCGCGCCGCTGCATTTCAATACCGCCATTACACTATGAAATATCGCAGCTCAAACCTCGCGCCGCCATTAGCGCCGAGGCGGGAAGGGAAACGCTCGCAACAACTGCAAAAAAACGCGAAAATGTGAATCACCCGGCCGGTATTCGAACCCGCGACTTTGCCTGCCCCGCAGATCAACGCGCTGGGCGCCAAGGCGAGCGGCAAGCCAGTGGTGCAGGTGTACTGCTGCGACTGCGGCGACGTGGTCCGCGAGGACCGCAAGAAGAGGCGGCGGCGGAAGGGACGGCCCGCCGACGGCGCGACCTCCCCGACGACGAAGGCGCAGCGGACGCCGCGCCGCGCCGCCAGGCACCACTTCAAGGCCTCCAGCAGGAGCTTCAGCTCCACGCGCATCAGCGTGTCCAGTGAGTCCAGTCGCCTACCCCGGCGGCGTCAGCACCACGGCCTCCGTCGCGCTCGCACCCCCCGGGACGCCGCACGACAGAGAGCGAGTTCGGATTCCACCTCCAGTCCTTTGTGGCCTGCGGCTCGCTGTGGATTGCCGTCGCCCCAACCCAGGCCAGGCCGAGGCCGAGCTTTTGACCCTCACGTCGCCTTGATGGCCTTGATGGCCTCGGTCTCGGTGGCGGACCCACCGCAAATAGATTGGGACAAGGTGCCGTTTGAAGCGCCGTTTGTGGCGCCGGGTCGGCGGGGCGGGCAGGCCCGGCAAGGCCCGGCAAGGCCCGGACCCACCAATCGCCCATTCGGGCATTCGAGCATTCGGGCCGGCCTTTCAAAACAATCGGGGGGCGGGGGGAGGGGGGGAGGGGCGAAGGGTTGTACCGGCGTACTTCTGGGGCAGGCTGACTGCCGAAGGTGCCCTGTTTGTTATGGTGCGCTCATTGCTGCAGGTAAGACCCTGGCGCACTGTGGGAAAGTATTTCTTCGGTGCCCTGAAATCGAAAGACACTCCATGTTGTCCTCACGCACCAACCCAGTGACGGGGTATTGGCAGTGTGTCTGACGGAGACTCGCTGCGGCATTGCGCACTGGGAGTCCGGGATGGGAACCAGATCGACGGGGAGCCGGTCGCTATCAATCCACCAGAGTCAACAAATATTGTCTTTGTAAACGCGCCGGCACCGCTAACTTCTCCTAACCGGGAACAATCCTAGTGGAGCGGACGAAGGACGAAGGGGTGCGCCGCGCTGCAGGGCCCCCCGTGAGTGCGACGGAGACGGAGAGAAGGAGGGTGGAATCCGCTGCAGCCACTCCACGCCGCTCATGGCGCTTCCGTCCGATCAATTTGGGGCAAACGGGGCCCGAGACGACTGCGGGCTGCGCGCTGTCTCTCTCGCACCCCTGCCGCCCCGCCGCGAGGGTGCGAGAGAGACAGGCGATGTCGGCTTGGCCGCCAGCAATGACCGGAACTAGGCTGCCGCTGTTGCGACTGCTGCGACACGCTGCGCCGTCTTGCGAGGGCCAGTCCTCTCTCGCGCACTCCGGCTTAATGAAAAAGAGAAAAAACAGCACATTGCTAAGCGACAGCCGGCAGCCAGCAGCCTGTCCTCAAGACAGTGGAGCGGAGCAGCGACGGGATGAAGGCATTCCAGCCGCTTGTGGAAGTGAATTCAGCAGCGCGAATAGGGTCACCTCTTCAGGCTCATTTTCTAACATTCGCTCTGTCTCTCTCGCACCCGCACTTCTCATGACTGCGAGAGAGAGACAGGGCGACCAGGACACTGTTTGGAATCGAGCTGGTGATAAGGATGAGAGGCCTTGGGTTGCGGGCGATCTTAGAAAGATGGGATCCAGCTCCGCAAGCCTCGGAGTCATTTCGACGGGCCCAGCGCGGCGCGCTGTGAAAACAGGCTGGCTGCTCAAGGGGATCACGAGTCCATCCCCCAATTAGCCCGTCCCTTGCTGTAGTTCGCCGATCGGTAGAGGATCGCTGTTATAACTGTAGCCAATCGCGCGGGCCGGGCGCCGCGCCCCTCGGGCCCCGAGCGGCCCTGAGCTGGCTACGCCGTGGCTGAGCCCGGCGGAGGCTTTTCCGAGTGACTTAATGCCGACATCGCTGGAGTGGAGGCCACGTGCCTTTGCCTTTCAAAAGTTGGGCATCGAGCCGCCAAATTAGATCCGGACGGGCCGACTCAACGATAGGGCCTTCCTTGGCGCGCCGGCGGCCCCGGGGCCCGGGGGCGTCGCTGGGTGTCGCGGGCTTATCTGCGCGCGCAACATCTCCCTTTGAGCCGGTTTAATAGTTTCAAGGGCGGCGGGCAGCCTCGCTCTGTCTCTCTCGCACCCCGGCGCCTCCCCTCCGAGACGCCGCTTCAAACCCTCCGGGCCGACGTGCCCGACTAGCCGGCTTAGCCCGCCGCGGAAACGGCGAGATGCTCGAATAACGCTCGATCGACCGGAAAGCAGGATTCGTCTCCTCCTTTCAAAATGCGCAACGGTTCGTGGAACATTTCGCACCGCGCGTGGAGTATCCGCGTACCCGCCGCGTGGCGTGGAGTATCGCTGCTCGCCGTGCCGGCCGGGCGCGTCGCTACCCCGCGCGCGGGGCGCGCGGCAGGCAACTAGCGCCACCCAGCGGCCACCCTGCGAACCGGCCGCCCGCTCCAGCCGCTCGGGGTATCGCCGCCGCAGCTGTGCGCGGGAACATTTGAACAGCGGCCCTCTGCCAGTGGACGCGCTGCGCAGTGCTGCGTGTTTTGGCTCGTTGTTGTGTCCGAGGTGAACGGTCGCGTGTTGCAGGTGGAGGTGGGCCATACGGCTCCCAGTCGCCATACGCCTCGCCGAGGAGAACCCGACTCTAGCCGGAGGATGTCCAGTCCGTCCTGCAGCCCGCCGCCCTGTCGAAGGAAAATTGGCAGACAATAAAAACAAATAACCCGACAGTGTGGCATTATTTATTTCCTTCCCGTGTTTTTGAATACTTTATAGAATACTTTGAATGCGTTTTTGGAAAGCGCCGTCCTAACGGGTCGCGTTATTTCTCCGCTACTGTCTGGAAATGCCTCGTCGTCTTCGCCTGTCGAATTTCATGAATTGTGATGACCTCTCACACACACGCACACACGCACTCACACACACGGCGCACGGGCAGACACCATGCTGTGGGTATGACGTTGCCAGCACAATGGGCCTCGGGTTGGGCTGGAGGCTGTTGGGCCCGAGACATGCGCTCGACCCCAATAACTCCTTTCAAAAAGTTTGGCCAACAAAAAACGCCCCGCGGTGTCCAGGGGGCGTAAATCACGAACCGAGTTAAGAGCGAGAGAGAGAGAGAGAGAGAGAGAGAGAGAGAGAGAGGGGGGGGGAGAGGGAGAGGAGAGGAGAGGAGAGGGAGAGGGAGAGGAGAGAGAGAGAGAGAGAGAGAGAGAGAGAGAGAGAGAGAGAGAGAGGAGCGTGCTCTACACGGATCTCGACACCTCCCCCCGTTAGGGGCGTTCGGCCGACGAGGTGTTCGCGGAAAGGATCTTCTTGGTGTCGCCGCGGAAGCAAGGGGCCCCGAGCAGAGCCCGCCGCTCGCCCCCACCTCTGCTCGCCACATGATTGAATGAATGGTTGGTCTGGGTTCGGCCCCGTGCAGGCCCTGCATCGATCAAAGGCTGGCCGAGGTTTGTTTGCAGAGACACTACGCCCCGCCACCTCCCAGAGCATGGCGGGGCAGAGGACCAATCAAGATGTCATTACTCGGCATGCGGCCGAGGCGTGGCGTGGCGTGCCGTGCCCAGCTAATCCCACGGCAAACAGGCCAATCAGACGTGTCGTCGCCGCGACTCGCCGCGCGCTGCAATATACAAGCACGCTGGAGGCTGATCCGGGCACTGCGTCTCTCTCGCACCCCCGCGGCCCGCCCCACGAGTGCGACGGAACGCTCTGGACTCGCCGCCCGCCTCACAGTGGGCCAGAGGCCTGGCGCAGGCGGACAAAACTCTAGACGCGTTTTGAGCTCCAGAGTCACTGAACAGGACTCGAACCGAACGTGTGACCCCACCAATGGATTCCTCGTTCGGAGAGCAATCCATTGGTGGGGTCACACGTTCGGTTCGAGTCCCATTTCGCGACTCTGCAGCTCAAAACGCGTGTAGAGTTTTGGCCGCCTCCACCGGCTTCTGGCCCACTGTGGACGCTGCACCCTCAGCCCGCCGGCACTCGGTGGCGGAGCACAGCGCACGTCAGCAGCGCCGCCGTGTTCGGTTCGGTTCGACACGCGGGCATAAATATACGTCTCCGGATTTTGTGATTTCGTTTCCGAAGTCCGGACGGCGATGGCATCGGCGATAAGGCGGCCGTGCGATTTTCAGGCAAGGCCGGATTCCGTCGGCGCCGTCCTCGTCGTCGTCGTCGGCGGCGGTGTATGTTTTTCTAATTAATCGGGTAATTTTGCGCCGAACCGGGCAATGCCGGTTATTCCCGAGAATATGGCCGCGGTGCAACCTCGCCTTGCTCGCTGCCAGAGAGCCGCCGCAGCCACGCCAAAAAGACGTGCAGTTGTCTTTTTCTGCCTTTGTTTTTTTTTTCGCGAGCATGGCGGGCTGGTTTTGCCGGGGACGAGCTGAAAACGGGTGGCCGGCACGCAGGCGAGGCGAGTTCACGGCCCGGCGCGGCGCCATGCAGTGTGGGAGCGAGACCAAGCCAGCGACTTAATGTCTTCCTTAATTTTCGATTAAGGAGTTCATTTTGGAGGAATGCGCGTACATTCGCTGCGGAGACCTCGCCTGCGGATTCGCATTCAAAGCGCGCGCCTCGCGGATTAACATCATTTTTGGAAACAATAAAAAGTCCCGGCGATTTCACTCTGTCTGCTGCGTTCTGCAGCGGGTCGCTTCCGGAGCGACAGAGACAGAGCGACGGGGCCGGCCGACCTGCTGGCCAATAACAAGTGCAGCATGTCGTCGCGACGGAGCGTGGGCGGCGCTGAGGGGCAACACCGTGACGTCCACGCCCTGTCGGCGGCGTCGGGACGACGTCGGCGGCCCGGCCCCTTCCTGTGCCACCGAGGGGCCGGCCGGCCGGCCACCGGGACGCGGCGGGCGGGGCGGGCGGGCGGGCGGTGGCGGTGCTTCGCGTCCAACCGGCCGGCCGGTCAGCCGCCACCACCGCCCGCCAAATTAACACCTGTGCCCACCTCGGCGCTGCTGCGGCATGCTCGTCGGCAACCCTGTAATCAGACGATGGACAGGACGCGCGGCGACGCGGACCACGCGCTGCCAGTGTACACACAGAGTAGTGTCGCCCGCCGCCGGAACTCCGGGTGTCCGTGGACTCTCC